TACCAAGGGGGTCTTTAGGGTAAAAACATCAGAATACAGGTCCCCTGAATTAAAAAATCAGAAAAAACAGGTCTCTGAGATAAAAAAATCAGAATACAGGTCTCTGAATAAAAAATTCGAATACCCGGCTCGAGATAAAAACATCAGAATACAGGGCCTCTGAGATAAAAATTTAGAAAACGGGCTCTGAGATAAAAACCCTCCCGAATACAGGTCCTGAGATAAAAAAAATCAAAATACAGGGTCTCTGAGATAAAAAGATCAGGGAAAACAGGGGCTCGGATAAAAAAAAAAGAACAAAAGGTCCCCTGAGATTAAAAAAAATCAGAACACAGGTCCTTTTGAATAAAAAAAATCAGAAAACAGGGCTCTGAGATAAAAAGTTCCCGAATAAAAGGTCCTAGAATTTAAAAAAATCCCGAAAACCAGGGCTCGAATAAAAAAATCAAATACAGGTCTCTGAGATAAAAATTCAGAATACAGGTCTCTGAGAAAAAAAGATCAGAACCCAGGGCTCTGAGATAAAAACATCAAATACAGGGCTTTTGAGATAAAAAGTTCAAATAAAAGGCTCTGAGATAAAAATTCAGGGAAAACAGGTCCCCTGAGAAAAAAGTTCAGAAAACAGGTTTTGAGAAAAAAAATCAGAATACAGGTCTCTGAGATAAAAACATCAGAATACAGGTCTCTAGTAAAAACCCTCAAAAATACTTTTTCCCGAATAAAAACACCCGAAATACAGGTCCCCTGAGATAAAAAGATCAGAACCCCATTTTCTGGAATAAAAACAAACAGAATACTGGTCTCTGAGATAAAAAAAATCAAAAAACAGGTCCTGAGATAAAAAAAATCAGAATACAGGTCTCTGAGGGTAAAAACATCAGAATACAGGTCCTCTGAGATAAAAACATCAGAATCAGGTTTCTGAGATAAAAAACAATCAGAAAAAAATTTCAGGTCTCTTGAGATAAAAACATAGAATACAGGTCTCTCGAGATAAAAACATCAGAATCAGGTCTCTTGAGATAAAACATCAGAATCAGGTCTTGAGATAAAAACATCAGAATACAGGTTCTCTGAGATAAAAACTCAGAATCAGGCTCTGAGATAAAAACATCAGAATACAGGTCTCTTTAGATAAAAACATCAGAATACCAGGTCTCTCTAGATAAAAACATCAGAATCAGGTTCTCCTGAGATAAAAAACATCAGAATACAGGTTCTCTGAGATAAAAACATCAGAATACAGGTCTCTTGAGATAAAAACATCAGAATCCCGGTCTCTTGAGATAAAAACATCAGAATACAGGTCTTGAGATAAAAACATCAGAAACAGGCTCTGAATAAAAACATAGAAAAAGGTCTCTAGATAAAAAAATCAGAATACAGGTCTTTTGAAAAAAACATCAAATACAGTCCCCCTGAGTAAAAAAATCAAAATCCCGGTTTTCCTGAATAAAAACATCAAATACAATCCCCCTTTAGAAAAAACATCAAATACAGGTTCTCTGAATAAAAACATCAGAATCCCGGGCTCTCTAGATAAAAAAATAGAATCAGGTCCCTTGAGATAAAAACACGAAAAACAGGTCTCTAGATAAAAAATCAAAAAAAGGGTTTTTGAGATAAAAACCTCAGAATAAAGTCTTTAATAAAAAATCAAATCAGGTTCTGAGATAAAAAATCAGAATAATCTCTGGATAAAAACTCAAATACAGGTCTCTTGAGAAAAAAAATCAGAATCCCGGTTTTCTGAGATAAAAACATCAAATACAGGTCCTCTGAGATAAAAAAATCAGAATCCCGGTCTCCCCCCGAGTAAAAAAAACAGGGAAAAAAAAAAAAAACAGGTTTTCTGAGATAAAAAATCAAATCAGGTCCTGGAAAAAAAAAATCAAATACAGGTCTTGGAAAAAAAAACACAGAACAGTTTTGAATAAAAAACCCGAATCAGGTCCTTGGATAAAAAATCAGAATACAGGTTCTCTGAGAAAAAACATCAGAACGGTCTCCCGAATAAAAACATCAGAATACAGTTTTCTGAGATAAAAAAATCAGAATACAGGCTCTTGAGATTAAAAACATCAGAATACAGGTCTTCTGAGATAAAAACATCAGAATACAGGTCTCTGAGATAAAAACATCAGAATACAGGTCTCTGAGATAAAAACATCAGAATACAGAATTCTCTGAGATAAAAACATCAGAATACAGGTCTCTGAGATAAAAACATCAGAATACAGGTCTCTCTGAGATAAAAACATCAGAATCCAGGTCTCTCTGAGATAAAAACATCAGAATACAGGTCTCTGAGATAAAAACATCAGAATACAGGTCTCTGAGATAAAAACATCAGAATACAGGTCTCTCTGAGATAAAAACATCAGAATACAGGTCTCTCTGAGATAAAAACATCAGAATACAGGTCTCTCTGAGATAAAAACATCAGAATACAGGTCTCTCTGAGATAAAAACATCAGAATACAGGTCTCTCTGAGATAAAAACATCAGAATACAGGTCTCTGAGATAAAAACATCAGAATACAGGTCTCTCTGAGATAAAAACATCAGAATCCAGGTCTCTCTGAGATAAAAACATCAGAATACAGGTCTCTGAGATAAAAACATCAGAATACAGGTCTCTCTGAGATAAAAACATCAGAATCCAGGTCTCTCTGAGATAAAAACATCAGAATACAGGTCTCTGAGATAAAAACATCAGAATACAGGTCTCTGAGATAAAAACATCAGAATACAGGTCTCTGAGATAAAAACATCAGAATACAGGTCTCTGAGATAAAAACATCAGAATACAGGTCTCTCTGAGATAAAAACATCAGAAAAAACAGGTCTCTTTAGATAAAAAATCAGAATACAGTCTCTCTGAGATAAAAACATTAGAATCAGGTCTCTCTGAGATAAAAACATCAGAATACAGGGTTTCTGAGGGTAAAAACATCAGAATACAGGTCTCTGAGTAAAAACATCAGATACAGGTCTCTGAGATAAAAACATCAGAATACAGGTCTCTGAGATAAAAACATCAGAATACAGGTCTCTCTGAGATAAAAACATCAGAATCCAGGTCTCTCTGAGATAAAAACATCAGAATACAGGTCTCTGAGATAAAAACATCAGAATACAGGTCTCTGAGATAAAAACATCAGAATACGGTCTCTGAGATAAAAACATCAGAATACAGGTCTTTGAGATAAAAACATCAGAATACAGGTCTCTGAGATAAAAACATCAGAATACAGGTCTCTGAGATAAAAACATCAGAATACAGGTCTTCTGAGATAAAAACATCAGAATAAGGTCTCTGAGATAAAAACATCAGAAAACAGGTTTCTGAGATAAAAACATCAGAATACAGGTTTTCTGAGATAAAAACATCAGAATACAGGTCTCTGAGTAAAAAAAAAAAAACCAAAAA